GAGAGAGAGAGAGAGAGAGAGAGAGAGAGAGAGAGAGAGAGAGAGAGAGAGAATATCTAAAGTGTGAAAGATATTTATTCACATAATTATCAGTAAGGTCCTAATTTTATTAACAATCTCCTTACTATTAATGTGAAGTCTTGATTACCACGCATACTGTGTGCGTTACATAACTTATAGAAATTGGATAACTAATTAGGATCAATTTGATCACGATAATAAGATAAATTTCTAGTCGGGATAGAAAAAATGCGCTGTCAATTGTGATAAGTTAATATAATTCACTACATATCGATGTAAATACAGGGTGTCCCAGACTCTCTTCTGCAATTTTTGTGGGAACGGATTGAGGTGAGCATAAAAGTCCTATAACGTTTTGCGATATTCGCGATGATAGTCGAGATATTAATTGAAGAAGATTAGTGAATAATCACGCGTGATATGAGATGAGTTATAGTATATGAGATGAGATGGTATAGCTGGTGTCTAAAACCACGTTCTGCGACCTACTGTATGCGACCCTTGCATCGATATTCGCAGTACATTTCATTGCGTGCAAAATGCGCTTGAAACATGACCGGTTTATTTCTCTTGTTTCAGATAACGGTAAGTGAGCGACGCTGGCCGAACGACGACGCGATTAATCGCGAGCATTCGCGAGGACGAGCGACTCGGAGGAGGTAAAAGTAGCTCGAGGCTCGGCTCGTGCATAAGCAAGCGGCTTGGCGCGTGAGTGCCAAGAGTATGTTTAATATCTCTGAGTAATGAGAGCGCTTTTACGATTTCTTAATGCCTCAAAGTGCGTGCGCGACACGGAAGCGCGGGATTTTCCTCCGGAATTTTATTTACCTCTCTCTCTCTCAAATACGCCGTGGGCGTTTAATTGCTCCTCTCTCGCCGTAATTCTCTCATGCTGGACTTCTTATTTCGTTTTTATCGCCGGTATTTAGCGGCGGATTTTCAATTAATGTAAGATCCGTCGCTTTTTATCCTCGCTCCGCGAATAGTCTGAACACTCGGTATTTTTCCAACATTATTTTGCCCGAGCTTTATCTTTGTCGGTTATCGTGGGCAGGGAAGACCGCGGGGCAAGATGTCCCACATTTCAGAATTTCGAAGTTACAACTTCCCAGATAATTAATTGTGACTCAATGTACAAATTTGTTAGAGACAGCCTTTTGTGTAGTCCTGAGAGACGAGTCACTAAAAGAAGCACACGAGCGACATACTCTTAGGGTTATAGACCCGATTTCTCCTACTTAGCGGACTCTTATCGCTCGATTTTGTCGCTTTGTAGTTTTAATTTTCGATGCGAGTCTCACTAATCGGCGTAAATCTGCATGTTAATCCGTTAATCCGTAGTAATTCGTCAACGTGCGACGCGCGGATGTGATTTTATCGGCGCGCGCGAGAACATCTGTCGGTCTCTTTGTATCGCCATCTCTCGTTACTTACCTGTTAATTGCAGAAAGACACGATCGGCATTCTGCAGTTACGTTACGGAACGTGGAAAAATGCACCTCTTGGTTCGACTTGAGGCACATCCGGTATAGATTGTCGTCGAGTTAATTTAAAGTCGCTGCTTATTACGTACTTCATAATTAGCTTGTCTAATTATACGACGGAATACTTCAGCTTCCGCGACGGCGTGAAGTTTGGCACGCGACGCCGTCGAGAAACTGCTTCGCGAATCTTCTTCTCCGCACCTTCGTCCAAGTGACTGTCATTTTTGCAATATTCATCGTTCAAAAATAAATCTCGATATTAAAAGCAAAAAGAAAAAAATATATATAGAGAAAGAGAGAGAGAGAGAAAAAGAGAAGAAAAAAATCGAAGTTCGTTTATTATAAATTCGTTCGTTTACTATAAATAATTTTTATTTCGCACATTTTAATTTTTTAATAATTTCTTTTTATTCAAACTCTACACGGAAAAAAAAGGTTTGGTTGAATTAGCCAAATATCTGGAATATGAATGATCCAGAAATTCCTATTGAACCCGAATTCTGTTTAATAATTAAGTTAACAAGATTTTTGGTTGACTTAAACAGAATTCAGGTTACTTCAATCGAAATTTCTGGATCGTTCATATTCGACCAGACGTTTGGTTAATTCAACCAAACCTTTTTTCCGTGTAATTATAGACATAACTCTCTAGTTATAAATATATTTTCAATGTTGTGTGCGTAGTTTGAGCGGCTCAATCGACACGATGACACGCAATTATCTTTTCGTAAATCCGAATTATGTCTCCTTGAGTGGTCGTTATTTCATTGAAATTTATGCGCCGGCAAAAAAATATTGGCAACGTTTGAAATGCAGCGCTTAACCGTACGTATTTCGGTGTTACAGAGAATTAATACCGTATCGCGACGAAACGTGATGTTCATCGATTATCAAGGATTATTGCATTTCCCCGTTATATCTTTATAATGTCGCTGCGTGCGTTTTATGTGTATTTTATTTATGAGAGAACTCCTGTGCGTACATTTGCATTGCGTAGAATATCCGGCGTGGCTTGCATTAGGTCTCCTGCAGGGCAACCGTCCGTCACCGATTTCGATTTTCGTGTCATACAGCAGCAAAGGAAATAATAGACTTATGTTTTTTAAGAGCCCATTTCAACGTCCGGAGGTTGAGACACCCCCTCGAAGGGGTAACACGAATATTTAATTTCCCCATCACTCCCTCAGCAAATATCGAGACTGTTAAGTATATGAAACAAGTATTGTGCGTACAAGTTTCACGCTCTTTATGACGGAGAATCCGGGAATTTTCTAAAATATGTCAAATCTTCCAAGTTGGAATTCTAAATTCCAAATAGTGCTATTGGTTGTGAAACGCTGAAAGCAACAATTGGATTTTTTTGATGATTCTACTCTATAACAAGATTTTTACACTTGAGACACACACAGGAGGAGGATTATATAGTAAATCACTATTTTATAATCGAAAAATAAGTTAATATTCTAAAATTAAAAGGAAATTATTATTATTCAATTTATCCTGCAATTTTTTATACACTGAGAAAAAATGTACTAAATTTCAAAAAACGTTTGTTTGGATAGTACTGTGAAGATATTTGTTTAAATTAAGTAATTATTTTCTAAAATTAAATAAAGAAGTTTTAAATATAAATTTGTTTCTTTAATTTTAGAAAATAATTACTTAATTTAAACAAATACCTTCACAGTACTACCCAAACAGACGTTTTTTGAAATTTAGTAAATTATTTTCTCAGTGTATTTCTATTTATATTTCAGAAAGTAAATGTGTTATTAAAAAGTGTGCTGTATTTCTAGGGAAATTTACTGTGCTTCTTAATGAGGAGCACATGGTGTAGTATAAATTAGGTTAATCAAATAATAATTATAGCTGAGGCTTCCGCGTGAGAACACTCAACGCGATCGTCGCCGTGATTGGAAATGCGCGTTTCTTCGCAGCCAGCTAAATAAATAATCGCTCTGGCGGTCGAGTTTTGCCGGGTATAACGACTTTCCGGTAAATTAGAATCGATAAACTATCGATATATAGCACTTCCAGAATTCCGCTAACGATCTTTTTGCCGAGCGCGAAATGCCTGGGCGCAAAAACGCGATCGCCAGCGCGCTGCATTGAAAGTTTAATTATGCGAACGCGATGAAAAATCGGGCGGACAAGCACGACGAGACGATGTAATCGCACAGCTAATGTTTATTAGCGACCCGGCGCAGCTCAGCGCGACATGCGCGACGTAATGAGGGACAAGATTGTGCTTTATAGTCGCGCCGACCGCGTCTTTCCGCGGTGTCATTCTTTCTCTTTACCCCTCGCCCCTCTTATCATTCGTTCTCTATGAGCGCACGCTAATTCTGTGCTTTTGTTTCTCTTCGCCCAAGGAAATTGTTGCGCACGTAATCACCGACCGCTTCGTCTGGAACGCGTGCGATAGCAAGAAACAGCGAGCTACAGCGAAACGCGCAATTGGCCACAATCTTATGGGAGAATAATCCAACCCACAGAATTATAACTTTTGAGTTTTTGTACCCTTAATAGGTATGCTTTCCTACGTAGAACAAGAAGGTCTTATGGGCGCCCTAAGTTAATTAAAAAACTATCTCCCATTAATTGCGTCATTTTTTAATGGTTGCATCAGTTTTACCTATTTTTTTAAGGATTTGTCAATGAGTACCCTTGAAGAGAAGAGAATTGACCACGCCTGACTTCTCGAACGATTGCGAAGAACCGCCATCTGTAGCTTCCAGATCGTGAATCCAATTTTTATCCTCGCTTGGACCATTCCTGCATAACTACGGCCACTTGTAAATCGTAACTGCGCTCGCAAAAGTAAAGTCTAAACGGAGACGAACGATAATGTTTCGCCGAATTTTCCGCTGCCGTCGATGACAAAGGCGAACAGCAGAGCGGACACTTGAAAGCCGAGTCATATTATTAGAAAGTCCACATTCTTTATGTTATTGCCGCGGAAGAAAGAGAAAAGTACGGCAGACGCGGAAAGTCGCTAACACTCACGATATCCCTCCAAGTTTCTGCCGGGGATTTCTATTTCGTTTGAAACGCGCTCGCTCGCGCATCTCCGAAGGCCGCTGCCTTTATCCCACCGTCGTCACCATCTCACGACGGCCACTCCGCGCTCAATTTCTCTTCACAAAATCCGAAAGCTACTCGAAATTCACTCGCCTTCACGCCCGCGCACGCTCGAAATGAGGTGCGAAAGACGCGGGGCCGTCCCCCCGTGAACTTAAATCAACATCATCAGACACGGCTAGATCGATGTAATTGCTGGTGCTGCGATTTAATGGTCCACTCTACGGGGCCTCCCCCCGCGCTCCCTCGACCTCCACCTCCTGCTTCTCCTCCTCCTCTTCTCCTCTCGAGCTCCCTCCCGCGTTTCCGCTTTCACTCGATAAAACCTGCTTTGCAGCTCGCAACCAGCCGGCCAGCCGGCGCTTCATCGCGAAAATTGAGAGTGCAATTTGTAAGCTACCTCCCTTCCACTCTGCTGCCCCACTGATATTAACCCCGATCGATGCAGCGAGCCACCCTCTCCCTCTGTCTCTCTCCCTCTCTCTCTCTCTGTCTCACTCCTTCTCTTTCCCGCTCTTTCGTCCTGTTTCTCCCCTCGGCTGATGTTTCGCGTTCGGATAATGACGGCGTGCCGTCTTCGTGTGGAGATTTCGTGCGGAAGGGAGCGGAAGTTGGGCGGATCTGCGAAATTTTTAGCCGGACGTTTAGATTGCATCGTTGTACAGGGGGTTTCACAGGCCGAAGTCAACCGGTGAGATAGAAAGAGTCAGAGAAAGAGAGACAGAGAGAGAGAGAGAGAGAGGGTGTATGTGTCTACCTTCGTATCGCGGTTGGTTACTGATTTAATCGAGCGCGCGACGATACTGTGTTCTTCCCGTGTATATGTGGGCGGGAAATTTACAAGTGTAATGATTTATATATAACATATATCTCTCGTATATCTCTCGCGCCGGTCTGCTTCGCTATTTCTACACGGCGAGAATTTTGTAGTAACAAGTACCATGGAATTTCGCAACCAAGGAGCAGATCGACATATTCCGCAGTAATTTATCATCTTCTCACTTCGTATGTACTCTTTGT